AGCACTGTACGCAGGGCTAAAAAAGCCTGTGCGATTTTGTGCTACCTGTTTAAAAAGAAAATTTATCCTCATCAAGATATTTTTCTTATCCCAATCAGGTGACTAAGTTACAACATGTCTTGTATCACTATCGGGATAATTTTCCCGATCGGCGGTTAGTCCTGACTTGTATGTCACAATTTTGTCACAGTCCTGCAAAATGTAAGCTTACTTGTCAATGTTGAGTTGTTGACGTCAAGGAAGACCTTGAACATCCGTGGACGACGCAAGCAAAATAATTGAATTCAAATATAAACAAAACTTACCCTAAGAGTCGGATCGTTCGAATCAGTAAAACAACTCCTATAGCTCTTCCCACAGTAATCAGAAACAACAGTCAGAGTAACTAGGCCACAGGAGACTGATATCGATTCGCCAATAATCTAGGATTCGGAATTTGATCGACACTCGAACAAAATCGTAGGCGTAGACAGTTTTGATTGTAATTATATTACGTTGCAAATACAAAATCATCCATTGCTAAACATTGTATTCATAATAAGGAAACATTTTCAAAGTCTGCAACTCATAGAACGGCTTTTTTTCGTCGATTTTAGGTCACGAAGAGTGAAAGAAATTCCTAAACAATATAACAGAGGCTTCGAGGTACCCAAGAATAAAGATGGCGTCAAAATTTAGCACCCTAACTTACTATAAATTCTTTGCACTGCAGTATTTTTTTAGGTGATATACACTGGCTTACCGACTGTCTACTGTTGTCAGTAAAAAATACTCAGCAATAGAACAAATATTTTATGAGATAATCATGAAAAACGTGTGAATCAACTCGTAGTACCATTTCTATTTTGTTTCACTAGGTGGTCTTAAATGTAGTTTTAAAAAACATAGCCTACCACTAGAGGGCGCTCTAAGTTGTTCTGCTCCTGAATTGTTTAATTACAGCCATATACGCGAATGTGGAATTTTATGAATGTCGTTTCAAGTCGAAGTGGATTTTTCAACATTCATGCCAATTAGAGGATATAGTAAGTTATACCACTCTTGGCCATGTGACATATTGCCTTGGCTGTGCATTTATTTTGGTAACTCAGTTGCTTGTCTTATAATATGCAGATTAGTTAACCACCATAGCCTATAAACACCCGTATTTGTGCTCTTAGAGGGCGCTGGTCGTAACGACTGGATATTTTCATAATGGGTCCCATACAACATATAGCAACATATACGTACGCAGACTAAAAGTTTACATTTACACAAAATTCAAACACTCGTGTCTGCAACTACCATTGCTCTTTAAAAGTTTCTCAACTATCGAAAAAGATGAGGGGGGTACAACTTATAAACAATTCTACATCAGTGGATTCACAGAATGAACACATATACAACTTTTTCATGAACAATACACTGAAGGGCAGAAAGCTGTGGTCGTTATAAATGTTTTATGAATATGCATTTTTATGAATCAAAATGGATGTTTTAATTCAAATTGACCAATCCAGAAAGGACATTGTAGCATCATCATTCTAATTAATATTAATGAGTTCAAAATTTTCAGATTAGCAAGCACCTGATTTT